GTCTAGCTTTTCCTAACTTTTTCAACTTTATCTGCCCTTCTGAACCTTTTAAGGTTGATAATCGGACCAACATTCGTTTAACATTGTAATAGTTGTAAACTGATGGTTGAATTTCGTCTCCAAAGATGTCAGTTCAACTACTCAAACTACCTAAACTAACTAACTAAACTGTACAAGTTAAGTGAGGACTAAACAACTCAAAACAGAACCTAACAGTTAAGATGAAAATATGAAAACTGTTTCATTGGAAAATTGTAAATCAAATGATACGAGCAGCTTTAAATTTAATTAAATCTCTGCTCAATCGATATGAATTGAAATGAATAAGTTAACTCCTACAAGGGTTTAACCAGGTAATTGGGTGAAGTATAAAAAAGTAGATTCATCTGTAAATAAATTGATCTGTCATGATTAAAAATATATTTTCAATGAGGCACATCTCAAGCTTTGTTCGTCAAAACGCCTTTGTTGCCTTGGGTCGGAATGAATTTGAACGCATTTTGTATTACATTTTGCACTCAATCTGAGCATTCCAATTGTAATTAAAATTTATAACTGAACAAACCATAGCTTAATCTGAATTCCTGTCTGAATCTGTAACTAAAAACTTTTCAAACTGTTTCAAGATTTAGCACCGTTGGTTAAATATTAATATTACCAACAGTTGCAAAAGATTAGCTGATGTACGATTTGTTACATTTTGAAATTTTTGGAGTTATGAATTTAAAAAAAGGCCGAACGGTCTCTTTATTGTTGCGGCAGTAGACTCTACTTTATGTGGAGGCTTACGGGTTATTGTTTTATTTAGTAATTGATCTGGTCCAAGACCAGGTTAAGAGGGCTGTGGATTAGGTTAGGTTTGATTTACGTTAAAGTGGCAAATTCAGTGGTGGTGTAGTCAGTAGCTGCAGTCTCGGTCATGGTGTATTCAGTGATCGCAGTCTCGGTCGTGGTGTAGTCAGTGTAAAAGTCAGTTGTAGCTGTAGGAGCAGCAAGGGTTACAGTGGCACTGCAGAGCACAACTAAAATGATAAAAGTTTTCATTTTCACTTGTTCAATTAGTGTGTCAAACTGAATGTTTTTTGATTAAATAGCAAAACCTTTATTTCGGTGAATCTTTATATATTAGTTAAAACTTTACGAATTCACATTATCAACATGTGACGAATGATTTTACAATATGATAGATTAATCATACAGAAATGGCTGAGACAATTAGACTATCTCGGACTTTTTGCTTTCCATTTTTATTCAAATATTATTCCATAGATGTGAGCAATTGTGAGTGCAAAAAGTTTGAACTCAAATTGAATGATATTGAATAACAAAGAAGCAATACAGTTAGGGTTGAGGTAATGAGATTATTGGAATAGCTTATTCACACTATACGCCGAGCAGCGATGATTTCACCATTTTCAATCTTCCTTAATTCATCGCTGTCAACCCAAACGACGATCTTTTAATCTGATTCATAAATTTTTGCTATTGGTATTTTACCAAAGAAAATGCAATTGAGTCAATTAATTATAAAAGAAATCTGAATGAAGTTTGATGAAATAAAATTAGATTCAATGCATTCTTAATGAACCGTTCATAAATTTTGTCTCATTACTTCAGCCTTTACTGTACTCATGAATCATCATTTCAACACCAAATTCGTATGAAAACTGACGATTAGATTAATTTGGGCTGTACATTAATTTGCCTTGTATGGATCAGTGTTGAACAAGTAAATATTTTCACAAATCAGCTAGCGATACTCACTTTCCAAGAATTAAGCTCTAAATCGAATCTGATAATAAGAGGCTTTCTCAGAAATTATGGGAATGAATTCAAATGTAAAAATAACGACTTTTCAAGGATATTAAAAATAAAGTTTTAAATAAAAAAATTGCCCTTTTTGATTTTGATTCCAAAAGTAGACTTGATTTCGTTAATTAAATATGCTTAATCAGGCCGAACGTGATGCTCTCTTATCTCATATTGTGGTTTAACTGATTTAAACCACTATGTAATCTAATCTCAACACTTTTTTTTAATTTTCAAGACACATTTTTGTCTTGATTTTCTATTGCTTTCAATGGGTTTTCCTATTTTCATTTTAGGTTTCTTATCATTTTCATTTTTCATTTTGACTTTTTTTATCAGGTCTAATCACTCTCTTTATCTCTGTCTTAGACCAAACTGTGCATATTTAGTTAACAGTGTTAGTTAACCATCAAGTTAACCAATTTCAAAATAGCGTCAGATTATACAATATAACCATTTGATTAAATACTGGTTACCCTAAACGTAGTGGTTTAAATATGCTTAATCAGGCCGAACGTGATGCTCTCTTATATATGAAACTTTGATACCTCTAACTAGTGTTGCTTGCAATACATAACGGCATATTAACAAGATGATTTACTAATGAAATTGAGACAAAAGCTTTATTTGCGTTCAGGATGTGATTTTTTTAAATTATTGATAAGTTGTGAAGGAAACGACAGTAACCTAATCATTAAAAATAAAACAATGATTTATCTGATTTGTTAATATTATTCATCAGATTCACTTCAAGGTTGAATGTGCCAACTAGAAAAGTTACCGATGCAAAAGCAATTGTAGTTCCTCCCATCAAAATTGCTTGAGATTTCAAGCATTTGATTTCATTACGTCTTATTATTGCAATTATATCACCAAAATCTCCTTCCATTGCGTATAATTTAAGGACTTTCATCCCACTCAAAACTTCAGAGACTAGTTTTGCTCGAGAGTCTTTTTCTTTAACCAGAGCGATTTGACACGATCTAAATCGAGTTGAAACGAAATAATTGAAGGGAAACAGCAGTGATATAACTGATAACCTTATGATTGCTGAAATATAATACCTAACTGCCCCCTCAACAAGTAAATAGCAATTCAAAGTTGGAGTGATAACCACAATACGTAGAGTGGTCATTGGATCATTGAACATCAACAGCAACCATATTGACCATTTCACCAGTTGCCCAATTATAATACGTTTGCCAAGATTCGAAAGCTTGATATTCTCTCAAACATATCGAAGCCTTAAACTCAGACTGTGACTCTATTATTCTAGACTTCATTGCTTCAATGAATTATGAGCATGAAGTCATGAAAATTAAAATGCAAAAAAGCACAAAATAAATGTTGAGCATTCACCATAAAACGATTTATAAATGGTATATTGTGACAATAAATGACTATACAATGTACAAACAAAAGCACATTCACGAACAGCAAAAAGTTTTACACGTTAATCAACTCGATCGCTGAGATTTGCAACTTTCCATGTCACTAAAAAGCTAAATGATCACAATTTTTCTTTAGTTTTACACAGAATTTAATGAATCGAACCATAAAAATCAGATCAAAGGCTTGATTACCAAGATCATGTCTTGAGCATGATAGTCAAGTATCAAACTTGAATGTACACAATAAAGGGCTTTAAATTTGAAGGAATAGGGCAAAGGGTAACATTTATTAAAGCAATGAGTGTTTTGGTTTTGAAAAATGGTTATTTTTACTGATTCAAGGAGCGCGCCTGCTATTTAACCCAAATAAAGTTTTTAATTCTCAGTGAAAGTGGTAAGAGAAAGAGAAGAAAAACTGAAATGAAGAAAAAAAAGAGACTCAGAAAGAGGGAAAAGATGATTATTGTGATGATGCTTTGGAAGGAGTAAAAAGTGTTTGAGCAAACTCGAAGATGAAGTGAATTCGCATCTCTATGGAAGCTTCAGCTAACAAAGGCTAACAGAGAGCATCTCCATTTTGGTTAAACGAGGAACCAAACATATCATTCAAACAACCTGAGTTTCATCGTTTTTTTACATCTTTATCTTCCTCATCCTTCTACCTTTCTCTCTCTCTCTCTCTATAAACACTTGTTTGCATATAAATACATCTAATTTTGTTATTGTAATCATGATAATCATGGCCATCATTATTTTTCATCTTGTCTAAAGCGTGATAACAAGAAGCAATCAATTGTGTTACACAACAAACATCAAATTTACAACTGTGAACATCTTTAAACATATCAACAAAACTCGAGCAATATTTTTCAACAACCTTATGTGCTACCGATCAAACCTTTCACATCAACTCGAAGGTGCATGTAAATATTGTCCAACATCAAATGACTCGGTTAACCAGATGAGGAAGCAAAGTGAACAAAGTGACTATTGATGTGTTTGTGTGTTATCACACACAACACACACAGCACACAGGGAGTGAGTCTGTAGGTGATATCGAGAAGAGGAGGGAAAAGAGGTGAGTGTGTTTGTGTGTGTGTTGTGTGTGAATAGAAAGGTGGGAATAAGAAAAGAAAGGAAAGAGAGTGAAATAAAGGAGTGAAATAAAGGAGTAGAATAAAGTTTCAATTGAATTTCTTCCGGAGTAACCTGATGCTCTAAATATTTGGTCAACATTTGATAATTGTATCCAAGTTTACCTTTTGATCTCTGCGATTTTTGAAACCAACAACAATCACCTCATCATACATCATCATTCATCATTACTAATTTTGGGCTTCCTTTTCAAGTTTACCTTTACCTTTAGTTCTTTTTTCTCTTCTTTTCTTCTTCGCCTTCGCGAGGATAAAATTTCCTTCCCAGTCTTGTTGATTCATTGATTCTGTGGTTGTGTAACTTGCTGTAAATTTGTTTTCTTTTCATCACTTTTTTGCTCTTCATTTTTTGGTAATACAATGATGCCCTCATTATGGAGTGTTTTGTGGTTCCTTGCATTACTGCTATTTGGTTATCCATGTGGATTTTTTTTCGCCTTATTCTACGTTCTCTTTCAACCTTTTGCTGTCTGTTGCTCATCCATGGCTCGTGTAACCACGTTTAACCTTAAATTGATACAACTACCTTTGGTGTTCACTTTTAATCTAATCAACGATAAATCACCATTTACGTCCAACTAAGAGCAAAGAGAAGCAAAAGTACAACCTCAAGAGGTAAAAAAGCAAAAAGAAGGAACCTTAAAAAAATTTGAAAGCCCAAAAAGTATATAAAGATAAATCAAAATAAAAAGGAGCAGAAAAAAGTTGTTTATCTTCGAAGAGGAAAAAAGTTTCATCTCGTTGGAGGTAAAAAAGATTAAGGAGTAAAATAAGGGAATAAACAAGAAAGGTAATTGCAAGTGGAAAACATAATTTTACCTGTTTCAACAGAAGAAGAAAAAAAGGAAGAAAATTTTTCTGTACAAAAAAAATTAGATCAAATAGTAGGAAACAAAATAGCAATAGTAGTGAAGTGAAGGAGTAAGAATATTGTTGCCATTTGAATCTTGCAAAACTGGAAAAAATCATTGGAAAAGGCGAGTTTTTCAACCTTCCTCATGAGGAATCCAATGGATTGAGTTTTTCAATGAAAGTCACGATATGTGGAAGCTTGCATCAGCTCTTTGGGAAGCAACTAGAAAAAGGTATTGATATTGTCTAATATTTCTTTATACGAAACTCTTTCTCTCTCATCTAAATTTTCTGTTCAATTCCTGATCCAAATTATCTGATAACTTTGCCTTGAATCACATTTTTTAACTAATCGATGGTTGTCTTGAGAAAAGTTTGAATAGCGAAAGAAAGATTCTTGTTTAAAATTTAATCTCAAGTCATGATGGTTAAGGAATGAGACAAATCTTGAATTTTCCATTTCGATATTAAAAGTTGATTTTGAAAGCTGCATTAACATTGATTTTGCTATTTTGCTTTCGATATCCATTGGTGAAATGCATTAATGCATTATCAAGTTTATCTTAAATATTGAGCAAACTTAAACTTTATTTAGCCTAAGTTCATTTGTTTACATGTTCAAGTGAAGAATTAGGTGTTGATCTTAATTCATGAAGTTTTACCAACAGATACAGGGAATATGAAGAAATGGAGAAAAATGTAAAGTAAAAACTAAATTTTGGTTCATCAACGTTAAGATAAACAATGAAAATTGCTATTAGAGTTGGAAAGTGCATTTGTGAGGATTGGAAGAGAAAAGGAAAAGAGAAAATATTTGGAAAAAATTGAGCTTTTAACAGATCAATAGATCAATTGTCTTGAAATTGGCATAAATTGTGAACAATTTAACCGAGAAAAGCAAAATTTCTTAGTGCCTAAGGTTCCATCATGAAACATATTATGAGGATACTTTATGAAAGATGACCACAACGAGGACTCTCTTGGTCTTATCTTATTGGTTGTTGGTTAAACACCTTCTTAAGCCCTTTAAAAGGGCTTAAGAACCTTGACATTGCATTCTCTTGACACTTGATCCTTAAAGAATAAACCCGTTTTGACCCTTAGTTTATGTTTTATTGTTTATTGAAAATAAACCGGTTTTTGCCCTTAACATTTTGGCGACCTCGGCAGGATAGATTTTGTCAATCTTCTGTTACATTTTTGCTACAACTGCTTTTCTTCAAGTATATTTTTTTTTTTTTTGAGTTATAAGTTATTTATTGAAATTGATATTTAATATCCATTTTGACGGAATTTCGTGAAGAAAAAAATTGTTGCGAATTGTTTATTCGTGTTTTAAATTAACTATTGTGTCACCTACGAGTTGAAACGTTTTGGACTTTGACAGTCAACAGAATCAAACTTTATCCCAACTTCAATTATCTAATCATCAGAATTACACCTCCCATTTACAATTGGATTATTTCATCTTATTTCAACATAAAACTGTTCATCCCTTTTGGCTCCACATCATTTGCAGACACCGTGTAACAACGTTTATTGGAACCAACTTTTGTCGAGACGTAGACGTAATCTCAACGGAATCATAAAAAAAAGACAAACACATTAAATCTAAAGTAAGATCGTTCTAATAGTAAAGTTGAATTTTTCAAAATGTCAAATGATAATGAAGTAAACGATGCTAATGCTGAAGATATTTTTGATGCTCATCAACTATCACAGCTAAGCATGCAGATAACTAACAATTTAGCGAGTGCTAATTTGTTTTCTGTGCCTAATTTTCGCGGAGAGGATAGTTATAGTGCCAAACCTTGGTTGAAAAGGTTTGAGGCTGTGGCCCAACATTTTGCTTGGAGTCCTGATCAAATGAAATTGAGATTTAAAAATTATTTGTCAGGACCAGCAGCTAACTGGTATAATTTAAGAATTGAACCACATGAAAATTTTAGCTTCAAAGATATCAAAGAAAAATTTCTTGCTGATTTTGCTGGTGAAGACAATTTGGAAAAAATGAGAAAAAGAAAATTAGCCCGTTATGAGAAAATACAATCTTATGTGTACGAAAAAGTGAGCTTATGTAAGGAAGTTAACAATCACATGACAGATGAAGAAATTTTAAATTACGTCTATGAAGGAATGCCTTTGAAGCTAAGAAATGCTATTTGTGTTGCCGGACCAAAGAATTATTATGAATTAATCAATATCGGTAAGCGGCTAGAGTCAGTATCATCATACAGTCCAGTAGAAGAACAAGTTGAGAGAAGAGAAGAGCAAAAAGATGAGACCAGTGAAATGAAATCTATGATTGAGAGACTCATGAGTGAAATTAATGAGTTGAAAATTTCTAACAATCAACCAAGAACACAAATCCAACAAGAGTTTAGACCAAGAAACAGTAATAATTATAATAATCAGAACCGTTTCCCTAGAAGAGTTGATGGTAGACCAATCTGCTATACTTGCGGTAGAACAGGGCATGTAACTCGCTTTTGCTATTTAAACGGTCCACCAAACAACAGAAATAGCCAAGTATTCCCTCCGAGAAATCATCATCAAACATACGAGAACCGAAGAATTCCTAGCATGCCTCAAAACATGATAATGCCAAACGAAAACTCTTCAAGACCGAATAATTCTCCTGTCGTTTTCGCAAGTGAGGAAAGAAGAATTATGGTAAATATTGCAACAAATGGTAAAACATTTGATGCAATAATCGATACTGGCGCTCCTAATTCATTTGTTACTGCGGACTGTGCATCAGCAATGACTAATGAATTGAAACCTTGGTCCGGAGGTACCATTAGTGGTATCAATGGAACAGTCCAGGTTCCAATAGGAGAGATTGAGGTTGATGCTGTTCTCAGTCAGGATGATAGAAAACAAAATGTTTCATTTAAGGCAACTGTGCTTGAGTATGCCCCATATGATATCATAATAGGGATGACAACGATGAAAGATTCTAAAGCTCTAATTGATCCGGTTGAAAACAAGATTTTCTTTCGAGAGGAAATCAGCGAGATTTCTCCAACGATGGCAGTAGTGGAAGAAACTGCAGTAGCTGGTCCTGAGCCAACAGGCTTCGGTTTGATTTCAAACAACTTAGGGGTCCTTGTCCCACCAATGACTTCCGTTCAGCTTAAGGTACATTCAGATGTGCTTAAAGATTTCAACGGTAAGGTGGTTATTGAACCAAGTGCTAAATTTAACAATCTACATCGTTTACGTTTCGCTTCTAAGGAATTTAATTTCGAAAGGGGTACAGCAACAGTTACGGTTTGTAATAGCGAAAATTTCAGTTTTTATGTCAAAACTCAAGAAAACCTCGGAAAAATAAAGAAGATTATTCCTTCCGTCAGTGCTCTAATCACTGTTAACAATTCGAGTCCTCAACCTCTTAACACAGAGACCCGTAATTCTTCATTACAAAATGGTGTCTCCGAGGAGTCACCATTTCAGATTTCTGAAAATCAAGAAATGGTGGCTCCACGGAGCCATCATTCTAATCAGAGAATAGACACGGACATAATAGATTGTCAGAAAGAGAATATTAACGAAGAAAGCTCAGAAATAAATTCCGCTGTCAAATCCGAACTGTCCGTAATGTGTTTAAGCAAAGGTCATGTTTCAGTTGGAGCTTCACTGAATAATCTACAAAAAGAATCCTTGAATCAACTATTAGAAGCTAACATTGAGTTATTTGCGTTTGAGCCTGAACAATTAGGAAAAACAAGCTTGTGCCAACATCAAATTGACACAGGAAACAACAGACCTTTCTCACTACCACCTTATAGTTGTTCTCTCCCAGAGAGACTTGCGATCAAAGAAGAAATAGCCCGTATGAAGAAATTAGGAATAATAACAGAATCAATCTCGCCTTATTCTTCGCCAATTATTGTTGTCAAAAAGAAAGACGGAAGTGTTCGTATTTGTGGTGATTTTAGAAAACTGAATAAAGACACAATTCCTGACATGTATCCTTTACCAGCGGTACAAGATGCACTTGATTGTGTCTCTGGAAGTAAATACTTTTCTTTAATTGATCTAAAATCTGGCTATTGGCAGATTTTAATCGATCCCAGAGACAGAGAAAAGACAGCAATTATTACAAGGGACGGTCTGTTTGAGTTCTTAGTAATGCCTTTCGGTTTAAGGAATGCACCTGCTACATTTCAGAGGCTGATGGATACTGTCTTGGCTGATCTTAAATGGATCTGTTGTATTCCGTACCTCGATGATATCCTTATTTTCTCAAAAACCTTTCAAGAGCATTTAAAACACTTAAGACTTGTTCTTGAGCGTTTGTCCACAGCGAACCTACTAATTCAACCTCCTAAAGCAGCATTTGCAGTTAATGCAATCAATTATTTAGGTCAGACCATAACCGCCGAAGGCATTTCTCCGCAAGACAGCAAAATAAGAGCAGTTTTAGAAGTACCACCTCCTACAAATGTAGACAAAGTCAGGCAATTTCTCGGCCTCGCGTCTTACCATCGACGTTTTATACAAAATTTTGCAATTATTGCCAAACCTCTGTCATCCCTAACAATGAAAGATGTACCATTTAAATGGGAACAAGAAGAACAACAAGCATTTGAAACTTTGAAACAGTGCCTGATTTCGAAACCTATCTTATCACATTTTAATATAGACCTACCAGTTGAAGTTAGGTGTGACGGCTCATCAGTTGGATTAGGAGCGATCCTAATTCAAAAACATTCAGAGGGTAATAAAGTTGTTGCTTACGCTTCACGTATGACAACCAAACACGAGAAAAATTATGCCATCAGTGAAATTGAAGCCTTAGCAATAGTTTATGCTCTTGAAAAGTTTAGGTCTTATGTAGTAGGAATAAAATTCAAAGTTATTACAGATCATTGTAGCCTTTGTTGGATGTTTACTAAAAGAAAATTGTCACCTCGTCTAACAAGATGGGCTCTGTCATTACAAGAGTTTGATTTTGAGGTCATTTACAAAAGTGGACAACATCACAAAGATGCTGATTGTTTATCACGAAACCCAATAGACCCTCCTAATGAGCCGAGAATTGAAAGAGAAATTAATCTTTTAACGATTTTTGAAAATCCTAATTTTCTAACGGATGAACAAAGAAAAGACAAAAAACTAGCAACAGTAATAAAACTAATAGAAGGCAATAAAACTTTGTCAACAAAAGAAAAGAAGAAAATTGAAAAATTTACGATTGCTAACAACATCCTCAATAAAGTTATTTTCT